ATGCTGTTTGTACGTAAGTGTATGATTTAGCTCTAGAGTATCAAAGTTACTTCATTCCACCTACGGTGAATTGATATAATTAATCAATACAAAATCCTAACCTAACCTAACCGTACTAAAATCCGATGAATAAAAAAAACCAAATTTAACCCTTGTTAAATTAATCTATCTTCTTCCCAGAGGTCTAATCTACACACAAACATTATATAACATTCATAGGCGTGCGCAGACCTGGATTTCGGGGGGTTCCTAGTTTCCTACAATATTTTTGGGCACTTTCCTTAACTTGGGCCCTCTCGTAACAAGACATGTACATTGTACATAATAATACATATTTTAGTAAATTATATTGTACAAATAAATATTACTTACTTAGTTACATGTTTATTTAACATTCTAATACAACAGTTATAGATTTATAATAATATGCGTCTATTACTTAAATTATTAAACTCATTAATAAGTAATAACTAAATCTACTTCAACATTAGAGGCCATTTCTTGTTCCGTAAAAAGTAAAATTAATGATTCCAAACAGTATTGGGTCATGATACTTCTGAATTTACTTTTCACAATATTTAATTTCAAATATATCTACCTGTTCTCATGAACAACTTGTACAATGCTAAACATCAAATAAATATTAAATATTTTAGGGCCCCAATTAAATGTCAGGGGGTGCCCAGGCACACCCAGAACACCCCGTGCGCACGCCTATGATAACATTATATATCTACGAAAAATAATAATACAAATCAACAAACATGCCCGATTAACCAATAGCAACCGATATATAATACACTATTATTATTTTAATCTGCAACAATTAACTACATTTTTTATTATTTAGTTTATTTTTTTCTGGACAGATGGCGCCGCTGTTGTATTTTTGACATCCCTACTTCCTACTTTTCTGGTGAATTTCCCTAAAATATTCTTCCATAAGAACCTTGTCCTGACAATTACGAATACAACAAAAAGGAATCAGCAAATCGTTTCTGTAGTTTTCCCGGTTAGCGTGGTCGCAGAAAACACTTTACAATTTTATATAGTAGTATAGATAACATAGCAACCAATATATTATAATACACTATTATTATTTTAATCTGCAACAATAAACTTTATTTTTCATTTTTTATTAATTAGTTTATTTTTTTATGGACAGATTGCGCCACTGTTGTATTTTTGACATCCATATTTCCTACTTTTCTGGTGGATTTTTCTAAACAAAAGTGGTACTATGACCTCCAGCAGACTATCAAGTATAACAGTCAAAAATTTCAGCCAAATCGGTTCAGTAGTTTTCTCGGTTAGCTCGGTCCAAGAAAACCCTTACCATTTTATATGATAGTATAGATTACTTTTAATAGGATAAAAGGAATTATTCAAATATTTTAGTCCAATCATCTATGATCTATTAATTAGATATTTAGTTTAATTAGTAGGTACTTTAGAATTTAGAAGGTAATTTTTGTATTTCATAAGAATAGTTGTCTAAGCAGTAATTTAACTTGCTCATAAGTAAGGCTGGAACTTTACATTAGGATGCACTTTACATTGTTTCACTAAGCTAACTACGAGATGATCGTTTTATAACTTACCTATACATATATTTCATGTAATTTAAATGATAATTAGAAGTTTTAATTTGCACTTTATTTTGACAATTTAAGATTTTAAGGTTATTTTTTTCGTTTTATAATTCATAGTCGTTCTATTTATGTTTGAAATTTTAGTACGATAAAATATACAGTCAAATTCGCTTATAACGATCTTCTAGGAACCTAGGGAATCTAATCGTTATAACCAAACTTCGTTATAATATCCGGATCATAAAAAGTAACATGATTTTCTTGAAAAATTGATTTATTAAACACATTTTTTACTGTTTAATTTTATTTAAGATTACATTGTATTTTAATATTCAAGGTAGGTATGTATTTATTTATAATTTTTAACAAAAGTACATATTATATATTATATAGTATATGTTTACGATTTGTTAGAAAAATAATCTATTATAGTGTTTTGTTTATAATTTGAATAAGATTTTTTAACAAAATTAGAAATATTGTTTAATGCCATTGATACTTCTGGCCTATTTATATCACTGTTTACCGAAACAAAAGTACGCACCTGATCAACATAAAAATACATTTCCGAAATAGATGGTAGGTACTTTGAATACGATTTCTTCGCACAAGACACATTCTCTGTTACAGATAAGATTAAAAATTATCGTTTCGGACGAAATGAAATTTACTACACAACGTACATACATATTATTAATCGCTATACGTAATTATAAAAACCAATTTTCATTTCAAAATAACATCGCTATATCCGCATTATCGTTATATAAGAATAAAAGTACTATACATAACACATAAAACCAACCAATTACATTGCTTGGAATCGTTTCATCCGGAATATCGTTATATACGGCATCGTTCTACGCGAATTTGACTGTACATCATACCAGCTATATTATAATATTATATACTACAGATTACAGCAATCAAAAATGTTTTGCCAAGTTTATATATTTATGAATTATACATTTCCCGAATTCCGTATATTTGATCCATTATAAATATTTTTATATATAACTTTTTGTAACGTCATTTAAACAACATACCTACATACAAATACATTGAGCAGCTCATCAATATTGTTTTTCGATATTGATAATTCATTAATGCCATCAAAATATATACCTACCTATAATAAAACTCGCCACACTGGCACACAAATATAATATGTTTGCTGAGCCACTGAAAGAGTCTGTTTTTATTTATTATTAGTTTCAATATCATTTATTATACGAGTATTGTTTTTTTTTTTTTGTATTCATGCGTATAATGAGCTTTCATCCAACAAGCAGGTTTCCTCCGTTATTATTTGAAGAGAATACAATATGTAGTGTACACTGTACGACAGTGCCGTAGACAGGAATTTTATATGGGGGGGGGGTTATTATAATAATAACATGTTATAGTAAATTAAGAAAAAATAACACATTATTTATATTTTTATATCTTAATTTTATTTTTATATCTTTATTTTAGTGTCTTATAAGTTATAATATCAGATCTATTTTTCTTTTAGATTCTGAGTGAAACGATGAATGTATTGATTTTACAATGATGTGTGTTTTTTTTTTATGTTTTTGTTTTTTTTTGTGTCTGTCGTCACGTTTTAGGACAGTAAAAGTGCTTGGATTTTCTTCAACATCAGCTTTTCTGATGGGAAAGTGAATCTAGTTGGTACTTTGGGGGTCAAAAGTAAAAATTTCCCAGTAGTTTTCACAAGCGCCGGGAAAAACAACATAAAAATTAAGGAAAAACGGGAATTTTTACTCAAAATCGGTTTTCCAAAAAATCGATTTTGATTTTTAGTGTAACTCTAAAACAAATAAACGTATATACATGAAATTTTCACTGGTTGTTTATATTTGCATTTTCTATACACAATAACATTTTCAAAATATTTTGATTTATTTTGAACTGTTTAGGTACATTTTTATTTTCCATTTTTTTTTAGTTTTTTTTCTAAAAATATCAATAAAATTTTATTTGTTGGTTGCGAAAGCTTGAAAATTTAATAGAAGGCTCCTAGTATATTGTTTCAAAGGCAGATGAAAAATATTAAAAATCCTTAGTCACAATTTTTTTTTTTATAAGCATTTAAAGTTCAAAAATTGACAAAATATGGAAAAATCACGAAAATTAGCAAATTATTTTGAGTTAAGAATTCGTAAAAATTTTTCTTTTTAAATCTAAAATTTGAAAATGTAATACAAGATTCCTCATAAGATTATCTACATTTATCAAAAAAAGTGTCTATAAGAAAGTCAAATTAAATTTTTATGAGCGTTTGAAATTTAAATTTTTACAACATTGGATATTCACTCGATTTCTCATGTAGCGATTTCCTTATTTTATTGTAATACAAAAACGAATAACTGTAGATACATGAAAATTTCACTGAATGTTTATATTAGCATTTCCTATACACCATACAATTTTGAAAATATTTTGACTCTTTTTCAGCTGTTTGACTGATATTTCAAAGTCTAACATCTGAGTCAATCTCTATTTAAAAATATAATTATAGTTAAAAAAATGAACATTAAAATTGCATTCATTACTTGAGCTTCTTTGAAAATTTTTTTAAATTCTTGATCTACATTTTCCCTTAAATTGTCAAGAACCTTGATACTGATATTGGCCAAACTGATCATTTCTCTCAAATCTATGTTTTTTTTTAGCACGGCTTTAACTTTTAAAGTTTTAACTATAATACTGATAATACCTAATTAATATGTTATCTTAAATTTCAGTATTATCAACATGAACATATAATAAGATTATCAATTATCACAGTAACAAAACGGTTATGGTCACAGATATTGTATATATCTGTGGTTATGGTAATGGTGATTTGTCATTGCGACCATTAGACGATACACAAAATACCTTACTTATAAGTTATAACCGATAACAACACAAACATCTAAAATATTATTAATAACTATTATTGATAAAAATTTTTTTTTAATATATAAGATATATTAGTAGTTTTAAATATTTTAAATAAATTTATAAACTTTCAAAGGGGGGGGGGGGTGTTGAACCCCCCCCCCCGTGTCTACGGCCCTGGTGTACGATACAATAATATTATATTATATACCGTAATTTGGGGTGAATAGGGACGATTTTAACGGTTTTTTATAGATTACGAGCACAATTTTTATTTTTTATGATATCGAAGTCACGAAAACTGTTTTAGAAAGATGACACATATAGAAATATATAATATGCCATAAATAAAGTTTATTTTCAAAAGTTTTTTAAATTTTTTTTTTGAAAAAGTGTCTCTATTTACCCGTAAGTTGGGGTGAATAGGAACGCCGTTTAAAAAAGCTAGATTTTCTTATTGTTACACGTTGATGATCAATAGGAACAAGATTTATACCTATTTTAAAAAATAGTTAAACATTAGATTTTATAAGGTTTAATGAAAAATTCTGGGCCTGGCATGTTATTTTTAAATTGCCTAACAGTTTTCCCTTTTCGGTCCAAATAACTTTTTACAATACATCGTAAATCGTAAATACCTAATGGATATCCCCACGAAGAACAAGTTATTAACGATTCAGCAATTAATTTTTCAGTATGATTAGTTAAAACACATTGACCTCCTTGTTTTTTCATATGTTTTCCAGGGTTTTTGGCTTTAAAGGTAAAATGCCTATGCAGTACAGTTTTAGGAATACAGTGTTTTTTTGCACAGTCACGATACGACATTCTGGCCATTTTATCTGCCAAAGCAGCGTTGATTTGTTCTCTGCTATATTGGGTATAGGGTTTTTGGCGAACGGTTCTAATATACTTTCGTGACATATCTACTCAGTGAAAGATGTAAGCAGGTAGATAGCAACTATAAATACATAATAAAAAAGTAATTATTGCCTTTTATCCTGAATGTAACTTGGATAAAATATTAAAAATATATTATTTATCATATAAAAATAATTAGGTATACCTATGTAGGTACGTATTAATGAAATGTATTTATTTCAAGTGTTCCGATTCACCCCATCATATCTGAGAACTATGACTAATCAAATTCAATTGCCTATATCTCCAAAATGTATGACGCGATCATTGAACTATATAATAATTATTATATAGTTCAATGGACGCGATTTTTATGAAAAAAGCATAAAAACCTATTAATATATTATATTGTGTTAAAATGAAATATAGTGTTCAAACCACAGATATAAAATACTATATATTTTATATCTGTGGTTCAAACATATTTAAATTCAGTTTTTCCACTTAGAGTTGACGAAGTTTTTCAGCACCAAACAAATTTCGAAAAAAATCAGTTTTTGATAATAAATTACCAGTGATAACAAAATTGGGTTATCACATGTGGATGTGGTACTACTGTACTAGTGTCAATATATTCCAAACGTTGTCAGGAACAATATTCCGATGAATCGATTATCATCAAAACAAATGTCGAGTAGTATTGAACGATAATATAATTTATATAAAGTATTTCTTTTTTTTTGTACGGTACCACTTCTATTATTTTTGCTTGATTTTATTTCAAATCAAATATTAGTTTTCTTGATTTCTGTATGCCGATTAGTAACCTGCAGTAGTAAATTTGAAGTCGGGATTGATCGGCCTTTATTTCAACATTTAATTTTCAGTAAATCACATTCACATAGCCCGACATAGGTATTTCATAACTTATAACTTATAAGCGTAATAAAATTCCATAGATAACGACTATAATAATTGATATTTTTATAATTGTTTTTTTCTTATTGATTATAAAATCGACGTATTTTCACGTTTATTATTAATATTTCTATGACACTGTGACTTACTTATAACAATTATAAGTTACTTACTGCCTACTAGATATTTTAAGATGAAGACAAACAAAAAATGGACAATGAAATAATAGGCATAGGTACCTAATAAAAGCAATAATTATGGTACAATAATATTATTATTGTTAATAGTGTATATTATATTATATGAAAATATTATAAAAGTTCTTTTTTATAATGTTAATACAATTTAAAAGAGTTCGATAAAAAAACAACACTAAAGAACAATGTATAAAAATCCAAAAGTATGAAATAAATGTTGAAGACTTCCTAAGAGCGATCTCTCATAACATCAGAAAACGCTGCAATGAGAAATGACTAGGTAATATTATAATCACATTACTATATATTATTATTATAAGTTCGTGGCTGACTAGGTAATAATATAATCATTAATCACATAATAGTAAATTGTACGTGCTTGCATATTTTTTATATATACCTATATAATATAGGGTAAAAGACAATTTTTATAAAATAAAAATGTACTGGGGATTTTTTTCCAGGGAATTGTTGCAGTATTTTTTTCAAACTACAGCTGTGTTGACTCCGTTTTACAAATTATGTACAACATAGCAAAAATTTTTGGGCGGAATAGGACCACTCAGGCATTAGTATAATAGCCAACGCACGTATACAAAAAAAATTTTTGGGGTGTTAGTACCCCCCTCATTTCCCAAACGTGTCTGGTCAAGGCCAGAGGTAGGGAGAGGCAATTTTTAGGAATTTGTTTTTCAAAATGTATGTTTTGCGTGGTTAATTTGATGGTACTTTTCAAAAAAAGTCGCTCAAACTTCTTATGGAAGTTATGGTCAAAACATTTCAAATTGCACAATTTTTATGAAATATTTTTGAGTTTAAATTGTTTAAAATAGGTAACATTTTACATTTCCATATTTTTATTTTATTGTTAATAAACCATGTATAATTTAATTATAAAGTTATTTCAAATCTTTGCATATTAACATAACTCAAAATTTACTTTTTGGCCTTACATAATTTATAGTAAAAAAGAGTGGTTCTCATTTGAAAAACAGAAATTTGTATCGTCAGTCGCCACAAGACACTCCTTAATAGTAGTACAAAAAAAATATGCATTAAATTGAAAATATGGTTTTTGAGTGTATATTTAAAAATTCCAAAAATCAGGATTTGAATAAATTCATTTATTAAAGGAAAAATTGGGTGTACATGATTAGTGAATCACACTGTATAAAAATAATATCAATCTTTTCTGTACATTCAACACCATCTTAAAAAAAAGAGTGTCCTGTGTGTTAATAAAAACTGTTTTTTCAAATGAGAACAACCTCAAATGATTTATAAAACATTTTGTACAGGAAAGCAAAAGAAGCATTTATATAAACTTTCAAGTGGCCAAAACTTTCAACATATTATTTTATTGACGTTTTGTATACATAACAAAAAAATTTTTAGTTAATGTTGTTTATGGGTCCCAGTGGTGCAAGGAGCACGTGAACTTAATCATGTTCAGTGGGGCCATTATTATGTTGAAATAAATAAAATAGTACTATTTAATGCGAAAAAAAAAAAAAATACAATTAATTAATAATTACAAAAATATTGATTATAATTACAAATTATAATAGCCTGCCCTTGCAATTTGTTGACCCACAGTGGCACATAAGTCTTTTGTTTTTCACGCTGCCTATCATATAATTATAATCCCATGCTAGTTCAGTTCCTGCTTGAATATTTGATAGTGCAAAGTATGACACCCATGGAAATCTAAGGTCATGTGTATCGATAAAAACATTTTGAACAAATATGTTTGGGTCACAAGAATGATTAAAATAGCGACCTATGTTCCCATTGACCTTAGCATCCAACGTGTAGATGCCACGGTCTTTATCTAGGTAGCTTAGCAAAGATGTGTTTTTACTATCAACTTTTGGTTGAGTATTTAACTTAGATAATTCATGTTTTCCATCAATTTTTGTATTTGTATTTTGTAAATTCTTCCGTAACGACATTCTAGATTCAAACATACTCATTTTCTTCTTGATTGCCCAACTAGGATTAAACTCTTCATCATCAGATGAACTAGTATAATCTTCACTTTCATCTTCAGGCTGGACCACATAACTTTCATATCCATCTTTGATCTCTTCAACTGTCTCGAGAAAGTCCAAATCTGCCAGATATTCGCCCCAGTTTAATGAAAAATCATTATCAGCATCTTTCTCTGTGCGAACCACTCCAAGAAATGTACAAACAAAACTACCTTTGGGAATATCAGTGAGTGTTCTCACTCCCCAGCCTTTTTTTTCAGTTAAAAACAGTTGCAGTGACGTCTTCAGTGGTTCCTGAACAACACGATTCAAACAAGTTTTCTTACATTTACAGTTGGAATTACATTCAAAAATACCCGTGATTACTTGTTTATGTAGCCGTTTGAAACTGTAGCCAATGCCTTCATGGTCTTTGAAAATAGCGGGATAATTTTTTGGACCCTCGTAAGTAAGTTGCCAACAGGAACATTTATTTTTGTCTTCGCAATTATCAATACAATCGCATCCACATAAAAATTTGGGGTCTATATTCAAATTAACGTTAGGACTAAATATACGTTTTGTTATATACTTTATGTGGTCTGGTACTAAGTCATTCAAACTGTTGAAAACGCTTATTGGTTTAAACTCCATCTCATAAGATATGTCTTGTATACGAATAAACACTTTTGGTACTGTGAACCAAGATAGAGGATTCACCAAATAATCAAAATTAAATAAGTCCATTGTCATTTGGCTATTACCCCGTCTATTACCATAACTTGTCAGTTTCAAGTAATTGTACATTTTGTTTTCATTATCTATATTAAGCCCGCAAGGAGTGGTATACATTACTTTTCTTAATTTTAACTTTTCGTCTGTTAATACAGACCTCGTAAATCCATAATGTAATGGAATGGTTAAAACATTCATACATTTTGTTTGACTGTAGTCATAGTGAACCCATAACATACAAAAATGAGAACACTCATGGTGCTTGTAAGGAAGCGGTTTTGGACAGTTTGCTGGTATTTCAATTGATTTAATTACACCATTATTTTCTTGAGGTTTTTGAGTATTGTCACTGTTGTCAATGTCAACACTTTTTTCATTTTCAGTTAAATTTTCTATTTCAATATATGGTCGATTTAATAACTTATTAACATCAGTCAACACTGTACTACGTACACGCTTATCTTGATTGTTACTACTTAATTGATTATATATTGGGCTTAACCTGTTTGAGCCCCGATACATCCATTCTGTGTGTTCGATCTTCATATCAAGAAATTTTAACTGTACTAACGATGCATCTAAGTTTTTCACTTTGGCTGAACACCATAAGTTTCTTAGCTCTGTGCGTACTACTTGTTTTTTATTAAACTTCACCATAGGCCGTTCTGGATACTGATATAAATAGTTCTTCAAAAATTCTCGAATATTTTCATGTACATCGTCGCATACATTTGGTGACTCACCACACACGAGGCGAATATTCTTATGGTAAGCATACTGTGTATATCCATCATCAAAGAAAATCATGTACCTAAGGCAGATCAAAAAAGTGTTTTATTATAAGCTGTGATAAATATATAGGTTAGTTATTTGAGAAAATTGTTAAGCTGTTCTTTGTCTGCTTTTAAACAGTACAACATTTTTTAAAAATGTGAGCAGTAGGTACAATTTTTTTTCTTTAAATTGACACTAATATTTTTCAAAATATCTTTCACTGTCTCATAGGTAGGATAAATTATTGTTATTTGATATTAAATAAGATTGTTGTTACTATATTATTTTATTTAAATAATGGGATTATGTAGGTATCTCCTAATAATAATAATAATAATAATAATAATAAAAGAATTTGTTTGGGCAGTATGATAAACTTAATAAAAATAAATTACCTAATGTTATAAGTTTCTTTTAAAACCGTTGCTGATTTGTTTCATGTTTTTAAAACATTTTACAGTAAATGGTT